CCGCCTAATCTTTTAATAGTCTCTCCGCCTCTCACACACTCTCCATGTGTCGTCCCAATGGAGCCGAGATTTAATGACTGTCCCCCCCGCAGGGACGACTTGTGGGGAGGCGTGTGAGAAGCGGAGAGACTATTAAAAAATTAGGCGGTTTTTCTTTCATGTACGACCGCCATATTTAGTCCCCAGGATTTGTAAAGCCTGGCTCAACTCTTTTATGAATGCGATCTAAGGCCCTATTCAGAAAAGGGGACTAACTAGTCCCTTTAAAGTTCTTTTAGACTTGCATTTGGCAGCCGTCTTCGACTTACAATATGCCGTGAATGGCGTGGAGGCAAATATGTCGGACCTGAAAAATGAAGATATAAGAACGTTATAACTGAGTCGCTCCATCGAGGAACCCACGGAAGGAGTGGCCATGTGACACCTCAGCATTTCAGATAGGTTTGTTTCTGTTTTCGCCATCGAACTTCAATACGCTGAGGGCCCCTGGAAACTTCTTGGGATCGGGACCAGTGTAAAAGGATCTAAAACGATTAATTTTCTCCACCTGGTCTCTGGGGCATTTACGTGCTGTGCTCCCCTTAAGCGTCTTTTAAAATGCAAAATTGCCAAATGTTTAATAATAATAATAATAAATAAATAAATAAATAAATAAATATAAATAAAAACTTTTTCCTTACATTGACGTTTGGTGGAGCCCCAAGCACATAGGTGACTGCGGAAGCTACGTCGTCCGGTTGAAGACACTGAAATAAATGACATTACAGAGCCGATTGTATTGAATGATGGATTAATAATGGACAGTTTTACTGCATTATAAGATAGGAAAAATTCCGAAAAATTTAATTATCTCTTTGCCATTTTATCTCTATTCTAGTAAGTATACGATATATTGTATGGCATGATTGAAATATAACTCAATATGGACGTAGCCTAACCTCCGTAACGGAAAAAGAAGTGTACTGTGTTTACAAGTGCATATTTCTTTAGAAAAGTAATGGGGTGGGGAATTTCTTTTTGTTACTCTCTGGATACATTCTCTTTAGCAAAACGTAAAATGTTTTCCAGTTTAGCAAACTTCATATTCCTGCATTTCTTGTTTTGAAATTGGACCCTTTTTTTTTTTTTTTTTGAGAATGGCTGTTCAACTTAACAATCCCTGTAACTTACATTTCCTGGGTCGAATGCTTCAGCAATGCCTTTCATTCTTGCAAGGGGCGTGTCCACAAATCCAGGGTTTATAATCTAAAAACATTAAGATTAAAAAAAAAATAAATAAATATCGCACATCTGATATTCCGGGATGGACATATAATGTAACACACACGGAAGTAACACCTGGATTCGTTGGCCTTTTATTTATTTTGCTTGTCTCAGCTGAGAATCCAGCAAAGTAGCTTTATCCTCTGTAAATGTGTAAAAATTAAACCTCTCTCTCTCTCTCATACCGTCGTCCGTATTCCTAAGCAATTTTTACACCAATCACATGCACTGTTTCCCCCCTCCCTCTCTCTCTCTCTCTCTCTCTCTCTCTCTCTCTCACACACACATACCGTCGTCCGTATTTTCGTTTTCTCCTTTCTCAGCTCGTGTCGCAGACCCTCCGTGAAGGCACCCAAGGCGTACTTTGTTGGGGAATACATGTGACACGGCACGTCCTCGTGAATCGTGGTTCCACATATGCTGCAATTGAAAAAACTCGATAGAAATTGTTATACTGTTGTTTTTCCCAAAGTTTGTTATGTTAGCGAACAAAAGCTTGAAAAGCACCCGCCACGACCAAGGGTTTAAATACCTATTTTTAAACAAAGTTTATTCAGAGAAAAGGAGGCAAATAACCGTAGAATTGTATACTTTCCATGATGACCAAGATATTACGACTTGAACATCTATGTATATCTTTACAAAAAAAAAAAAAAAAAAAGGAATAGGAATACTTTATAAAAATCAGTGACGATGTACCTAACATAATTATAATTAACATCTACACATGTTGATGATTATACAGGATGACATGTAGAGTTCTGTTTGAGATCAACACATGTGACATGGATTTATTTATGGCAATTATATCATCTACCAGTGCCTAAGTGCTCCCAAAAATCTATAAGGTGTCCCTCAATATTGCTTCCAACCATTTCCATTTTTGCGCGTGTAATTTCTGTCTATAAATTTTGATAAAAATAGTATAAATTAATAAATATAGAAAGCCGTTAACTAAATTAAATGTGTCAAATTTTCGTAATTCGTCAGTAAAAAGCAATATTCTTTGTCCTCTCGGAACAATTTTTACCTTGTGACCAATAGGAAGGTCTATATTACCGGTAATTAGGCTAATTTGACCTTGGCGTTTTTAACGGGACTGACTGGACTTCAGATCTCACTCACGCTCTTCTACCTGTCCTATTATAGTAATGGTCAAGGTCACAATAGAGAAGGCGTCAATTTTACCGCTCCCGCTCCTATTGGCTGTCAACTTACCATATTAACAGGGAAAAGTTCATAACTAAATGTTTAAACCATGGCATATCGGCAAAGAATCTGAAGTTAACGGAACCAAAAGTAATTATTTGGGGACATTTGGGATTCATAACACTCCCAACATTTTATACTCGCCAAAATGGAGTATATTGTTCATTTCTTAGCTATTTTCCGGACAGACGTTATGAAGCACAAAATCGTAGCAAAAAATCACCTGCTGATGTTAATAATGTGCCCGTTATCCATGTTCCTTTCTTGAATGGACTGAATGGTCAGCTGGGAAACAGCTATGGCAGCGAAAACATTCAACTGAAAATGAAACATAAGCCTTTAATTATTACAATTTTTAATTAAAATTATAAAAAAAGGTTTCCAGTAATGTGTATAAAAATATTTGCGCCCATTTCTTGATAACAATCACCTTACAAATAGTTTGTATTCACTACTTGGCGAGTAATTATAGACAGAATGATCAACAAAAGTTAGTCATAGCATAAATAAAAAATGACTTATAGCTTTGCCAGACTGTCCAAACATATATAGGGTTATATAGCATGGTGAGGTGCACCTTTCTTCACCATCTTGTACACTTGACCGGTGTTTATGTGCAATTACGCTACCATACTTGGTGTTTGAATTCTGGCTTGCTTTGGCTACAGCCTGTTTGGACCAATCAAAATCAATCCGGTTATCTGGTCTTGTGGAGCGTTTCAGATGACTCTGTCACGCAAAAACCAGGCCATTCAGTTGCCAAACTTAAAGAACGGCGCGGAACAGAAAAGTGTACTGCAATATGTTTAGGGGTTTTTTTCTGTATCGATTTTCTGTAGCTGTATCACTTTGGAACTAGAAAAGCACTCCGAGAGAGCAGACCTCCGCCAAGGCAGCGATTTTTGATTATAATGGATTATTGATTGATTATTGATCCGGATTACCACCAAAAACTAACCATCTCTTTCTTGGCCCACTTCTGACAGCTCCTGAAAATTTCATCAAAATCGGTCCATAACTTTTTGAGTTATGTTGATGACAGACAGACAAACAAACAAACAGGGGTGAAAACATAACCTTCTTGGCGGAGGTAATAAATACCCCCTAAAACTTAAACTGATATCACAATGCAATAAGCAAAGACAGAATAAGAATATATCGATGGTTGTTTTAATAACGAGATTTGCGGAATCCTCTTACGTCATACATGGCTTTCGTATCTGGCAACGTTCCCGTCTTGCAATCTTGAAAAAATGAGATCCCAGCGTTGTTAACGCATACGTCGACACCGCCAATCTGTTCCTTGATTTCTTGAAACATGTACTCTATCTCTTCCGTTTTGGAAAGGTCGCATTTCATTGGAATCAAACGACCCTTTTCGCTTGCAAGATTTTCCTCTGCAGACTGAAATAATTTTTTTGAAATATGTTTATCACCCAAGCACGAAAATCAAATGTCTTAAAATCTCATATCCTCACTTACATGAGGTTTATTTATTATCTGAAATGTTTTGAAGTGGAGACGCCAAATTCCTGCCCATCAAATGTATGTATGTCTGCGCACGTATCAACCAAATCTATGATATTAGATATACATATATTTAGATATATTTAATCATCGATGTTATGTCATTATAAAAAATGTCAAGAAAATTCCAAATTAAACCATACTTTCATATCTTCCACGTGTCTGGCACATCCAACCACCACCATACCATTCTTAACCAGAGCACGAGCAATGGCTTCTCCTATCCCTTTCGAAGCTCCTGTTACCAAGGCAACGCGCCCTGCCCAGCGATCCATATCTAAAATAATTGCATGTTCCGAGTCAAGCCAACAGCAATCACACAATATACGCATTGTAAGCATGAATGTAAGCGGTTACAGTTAGGCTTCGTTCACATGGAATGTCTATTTTCTAAAAATCTATTTTCTATTCGCGGTATGTCTTATGATCACGGTCTGTGCCCTGAATATCCCGCCGCGTAATTACTGGCAGCGCGAGCCGGTTACTTATAGTAACTTATAGTAACTGGCTCGCGCTGCCAGTAATTACGCCGCGGGATATTAAGGGCACAGACCGTGATCATAAGACATACCGCGAATAGAAAATAGAATTTAGAAAATAGACATTGCATGTGAATGAAGCCTAAAACACTGTATACGTCAGTGTGTGTACAACTTACTACATGTATTATATTAGAAAATACGTGGCCAGTATACGTAAATGTGACATCTGGCATCTTTAGGCTCAAAGAAGTAGTAAAACAGACTCAGGTTCTCTCGAACTACCAGGAACAGTTCTCAATGAATTTTATCAACCGGTACCAAGGTACTCCGCACCAAATCCACGGGGACTCTCGCTGAATGCAGTCAGACTGACAGATAAACATACCCCCTCCTGGCGTTTAGTAGAATATAGAAAAACTGGCGATTGTACATAAGAGCACGTTAGATGGCATTCCAACAATTGAATTACATGTAGATTATATGAGGTCATGATAATATGTGCTCCAGTACAGAAATGAATTGAATTGAATCCATCAATAAAATTGTACAGACGTCATGCCCCTTTGTCGCTGCTTAAATTGTTGCAGATAACACGTTTGCCGCCGGGTGACCGCTAACACTTACTTACTGTTGTTCAACATGCAGTATATTTTTACATAAGGAGCGCATCAGTTACTCTGGTGCATTGAAATACCTTTTAGGTATTTTCTAGGTCATTAACCTCTCCCAACAAATCATATAGCCCAAATCCAATATCCCCAAATCCTATCAGTAATCCGGCCGTTTTCTAGGGAAATAAACTTTATGTCCCATCGACGGCTAGAAGGACTTTTGAGGATAAAAGCCTTGACTAAAAGTTGAGGCCTTCTTTCGGACAGAGGTCTGCTAAAGTGCTTTGGCCTACATTGACCTTTCAGGTTACTCGTACATGAGGGGCATTGCCTCGTCTTCAATTTAACTAGCTTAAATCGTGCATTTTATATATACAGCATCGGTTTAGGTAGATAGACCCAACTTTGCATGGACTCTCGCTAAGTGCAATCAGGTTATTTAGATGACACGCCTCCTCTTGTTTGCAATGTACGCGTACAATCACCAGCTTTACTGTATTCTCGTTAACGCCATGAGGAGGCGTGTCAACCTGTTTAATTGATTGCACTCAGCGAGAATCCCTGCAGAGTTGGTCCGATCAGCGTAGACCTATTTGCCTATGGAACTGGGGCGCAAGATTCATATATTGATGAAGATTGGTTTCTGGAGAGTGTGCCCCCCTCCTACCTATACCTGTACACACACAACAGAGGGGGTGGGGGGTGGGTGGGGGGTGTCACATTGTTTTTAATCTCTGACTCCTGACCGTAGTGGACATGAGACTGACATTTACCAAACTCAGTTGTTATCTTAACTCAAGCAAACGCTATCTCTTCTCATTTTTGACCGACTTCACGCCTTGTTGATTCTCTTAAACGTATTTTAATTAAATGCTTATTTAATTCAGTGCACCCTAAACAGGTAAAGTTCTGTACCTACCAAAATAAAGATATATCATTACTACTAAAAATTACCAAATAGGCCTACATGTACCTTAAAATTTTGCAGACGGCTTCCTTTTCTGCTGAAGTGGGTCCTCTTCTTTCAGACCTTTCGTCGTTTTATGGTTATGCTTTACCTACAGGTTCCTGGGTCTGTAACCGTCACATAACGCGTTTCGATCCTCAGAGGAAAGATGTGACGGCTACTGGTCAATGGGCGGAGTTAATGCTACGTATTATTATGGAAAAGATTACAAATGTGTTTGGCATTCTCGATAAAATTGTGCTAGGTGTGACCTGGGATACAGTTTTCAATGAATACTGTATATAGAGGAGAAACTTGCCTTAGGGTGCAGTTTTCAATTAATACACGTGTCTAGAGGAGAAACTTGCTGTACACTTGTAAATAAAACATTATTAGATACTTATTTATAATTTAGAACTATTTCAACATTTAGACCTCGACCCCGCATTACAGCCCGGGAGCCACCGGCTCATATGACGGTTATTTTGTTATATTTTAGACTTGGCCTCGTTTTCAAATTGTGTCTGGCGACCTCTAAGCGAGAGTGGCGGGAAACAGTGTCATAGAGGTAGGTAAGATGAAAAGACGTTTATACGGTGATCTGTTGATTTTTTTACTAATGCACTTGACAGAACGATTAAGTATATCCCCAAGTTATATTTTATATAACAAAATAGTGTTTATGTGCCGGTTTCACTGGATGCTCTCTCAAGTTACTGTCGTGTTCCAAAATGTCGGCACACAGAACCCAAATGTAAACACGTTCTTTTGAATTGTGCCAAATGCAGATAACAATGATTTTTCTTTGTCTGTTCAGTTTTTTTTATAGTTTGACATTTGTTTTTGAATGTGTAAAAAATTTAGGAAGGAACCTAACCTGTAACTTATCGATTTTCTACATTTCCGACAGGTAGTATATTTTGCAATGTTCCGAGTAACTACATGGGCAGTCTTGTGTTACATCT